TTTTCCAAACATAGACTGGGATTGCCAGTGTTAAGGGCCTGAATAGAGAGGAATTTAAGTGTAAACACGAAAATGTTTATCATTCAGTATGTGGATGTACCTACTGGAGAAGGAGCAATACGTGACCTTCTGTTGGGAAATAACGCAGGCAAGAGACTGAGGTGTCAGTTGGAGCTAGCACTTCGGGGCGAGTGATCATATTTCTGTTAATTTTAAAATAGCTATGGAAAAGGATAGACCTGATTTAAAAGTTAAAGTTCTAAATTGGAGGAAGGCTAATTTTGACGGTATTGGGCAAGACTTTCAAAAGTTGATGGGGGTGGGGTCACGGATAGTCACAGGTAAAGGGATGGCTGGAAAGTGGGAAGCCTTTAAAAATGGGATAACAAGTATCCAGTGACAGTATGTTCTTGTTAGTGTGAAGGACAAGGATGGTAAATATAGGGAGTGCTGAATGACTACTTCTGGTCAAGAAAAGTAAAGAATCCTATGTCAGGTATAGACAGCAGGGGTGGAGTCAGTCCCTACAGGAGTATTAGGGCAGTGGGAGTATACTTAAGAGGGAAATCAGGAGGGCAAAAAGGGGACGTAAGATAGCTTTGACAAATAGGGTTGAGGAGAATCCAAAGGGATTCTACAAATACAATAAGGATGGAAGAGTAACTAGGGAGACAATAGGGCCCCTTCAAGATCAGCAAGGCTGCCTATGTGTGCAACCACAGGAGATGGGTGAGATACTGAACGAGTATTTTGCATCAATGTTTACTGTGGAGAAGGATATGAAAGCTAGAGAACTTTAGGAAATAAATAGTGATATCTTGAAAAATGTCCATATTACATCGGAGGTGGTAATGGGTGTCTTAAAACGCATAAAGATGGATAAATCCCTGGGACCGGATCAGGTGTACCCTAGAACTTTGTCGGAAGCTAGGGAAGTGATTGTTGGACCCCTTGCTGAGATATTTGTATCATCGATAGCCTCGGGTGAGACACCAGATGACTGGAGGTTGGCTAATGGGGTGCCACTATTCAAGAAAGGTGGTAAGGAACTATAGATTGGTAAGCCTGACATCAGTGGTGGGCAAGTTGTTGGAGGCGATTCTGAGGACAAGATTTACGTGTATTTGGAAAGGCAAGGACAGATTAGGGGTAGTCAAAATGGCTGTATGTGTGGGAAATTGTGTCTCATTAACTTGATTGCAATTTTTTTTGGAAAACGTGACGATAAGGATTGATGAAGGTGGATGTAGTCTGTATGGACTTTAGTAAGGCATTTGACAAGAGTTGGCATGATAGCCTGGTTAGATCACATGGAATACAGGGAGATCTAGCCATTTGGATGCAAAACTGGCTTGAAGGTTGCTTTCTGGACTGGAGGCCTGTGACCACCAGTGTTCTGCAAGAATCAGTGCTGGGTCCACTGTTTTTTGTCATTTATGGAAATGATTTGGATATGAATGTAAGGGTGTGGTTACTAAATTTATAGATGGCATCAAAGTTGGTGGTGTAGTGGACACCGAAGGTGGTTAGCTCAGAGTACAATGGAACCTTAATTAGATGAACTGGTGGGCCAAGGAGTGGCATATGCAGATTAATCTAGATAAATATGAGGTACTATATTTTGGTAGGGCAAATTGGGGCAGGACTTATATACTTAATGGCAAGGTCCTGGGGAGTTGCTGAGCAACGAGAACTTGGGAGTGAAGGTTCACACTTGAAAGTGGAGTTGCTGGTAGGCAGGACAGTAAAGAAGGCATATGGTTTGCTTGCCTTTATTGGTAAGTGCATTGGGTATAGGAGTTGGGAGGTTACGTTACGGCTGCACAGGACTTTGGTTAGGCCACTTTTGGAATGCTGCATTCAGTTCTGGCCTCCCTGCTGTAGGAAATATGTTGTGAAATTTGAAAGTGTGCAGACAAGATTTACAAGGATGTTGCCAGGGTTGGAGGGTTTGAATTTCTGGGAGGGGCTGAACTGACTGGGGCTATTTTCCCTGGAGCATCTGAGGCTGAGGGATGATCTCATAAAATCATGAGTCATTGAAAGGGTGAATAGTCAAGGTCTGTTCCCCAGGGTAGGGGAGTCGAAAACTAGAGGGCATAGGTTTAAGTTGAGAGGGGAATGATTTTAAAGGGACCTAGGGGACAACCTTTTCACGCAGAGGGTGGTGTGTGTATGGAATGAGTTGCCAGAGGAAGTGGTGGAGGCTGATCCAATTAGAATATTGAAAAGGCCTCTGGGCAGCGATATGAATAGGAAGGGTTTAGAGGGATATGAGCCAAATGCTGGCAAATGGGACGAGATTAATTTTAGATATCTGGTTGGTCTAAAGGGTCTGTATCCGTGCCGTACATCTCTGACTGTAGGACTGCTCTCTCATGAGTAATTCGTATGGTCTGGTAACTATAATGTGAAGGTGCCAATGTTGGACTAGGGTGGACAAAGTCAGAAGTCACATGACACCAGGTTATAGTCCAACAGATTCATTCGAAATTACAGGCTTTCAGAGTGCTTCTCCTTCAGGTGAAGATCTGGTAAAATAGTGGCAACTTCCCTTTTTTAACCTTGCTGTTGATGTGGCATACTTAAACTTTTAGAAAGAGATATATGAAGCAAGTTATAGGTCATGGAATGATAGGGTCAGCAGCAACACTTATGCAAAATCGGCTGAATTATAGGAAACGGTCGCGGTCAATGGGTATTTTTTATGCCAGGGTAAGGTTTGTTGTGGAATTCCCTAGAGGTTGATATTTGGGATTTTCATTTTTCATGATTTACATTAATGATCTAGAACTTGGTGTGCAGGAGGCAGTTTCAAAGCTTGTGAATGACACAAAACCAGGAAGACTTGTGAACTGCGAGGACAATGTTAAACTTGGGACGTAAACAAGTTGATTAAATAGTCAAATAGGTGGCAGATGTGTTCTGGTACAGAGAAGTGTGAGGTGATGCCTTTAGTAGGAAGAACATTGAAAGACAATATAAAATAGGGATTTCAATTCTATGGGCAGTGCAGGAGCAGAAGTAACTGAGTGTATATGTGCACTGATCATTAAAAGTGTCAGGACAGTAAAGAGTACTAAGCAAACCAAACAGTGTCCTCAGTTTTGTTAACACGGGCACAGAGTACAAGAGTAAACAGGTAATGTTGAACTTGAGCTAGATACTTGTTAGACCTCAGCTGGAGTATTGTGCCACATTATAGGAAGGATGTGAATGCATTGGAAAATGTGAAGAAGCAGTTTATGAGAATGTTTCCAGTTACAAGGATAGATTAAGGAAATTGGGATTGTTTCCCTTGGAGAGAAGAAGGCTCAAGAGGACATCTGATGAGATTTTCAAAATCATGATTGGGTGGAATGGAGTAAATAGGGAAATTGTTCCTCCTTGTAAAAGGAACAAGAACAAGAGGGCATAGATATAAAGTGATCTGCAAATAAAGCACGGATGAAGTAAGAAATATTTTCCTTCAAGTACTTTCAATTTGGAATGCACTGTTTGAAAGTGTGTGAAGGAGGCAGGTTAAATTGCGGCATTCGAGGTGAGGATTATTTAAATTAAAAATAAGATGCTTGGGTATGGGGAAAAGCAGGAGATTGGTACAAGGTAACAATGTTCATTTATTGATGGCTGGATGGCTGAATGGCCTCCTTTCATGCAGTAAAACTTGTGATTCTGTGAGATTATATCTGACTTACCTAACCTTAATAGGAAACCGGCTAGTTAGGAAAGTTAGAGGAATTAAAACTTGCTGTGGCTCTTAATTGACTATAAAACTGACCCTTGATCATTCTTGCTGACTCTTTTGACCTACTCTACCCTCTCTCACACCTAACGGCATGTTTTTTCTGCTCTTACCTCATCTGATGTGCTAAACCTCCACCTGGAATGCTTGTATTCCATTATGCCACACCCCCCAACACCCCGCACTGGCATGCTAGCACCATGCTACCCCAGAGATAGTAGGAACTGCAGATGCTGGAGAATCCGAGACAACAAGGTGCAGAGCTGGATGAACACAGCAGGCCAAGCAGCATCATAGGAGCAGAAAGGCTGATGTTTCGGGCCGAGACCCTTCATCAGAAACG